GCAGGCCTGCTACAAATTCTCTTGCTAAACATGAATAGGATCGAAATGACGATCAAGCCCATGAAAAACTTGAATGTTATATTGTAGAGGGTTTCTGTTGAATGTCGTTATTTTGACGACTTTTGTGTGACAAAAATAAAAGCTCCGCAGCGTAAGTTCTTACTGAACAAGAAAATGATCTTAAGACCATCACGCCCACTACAGACATACGTGCGCTAAATGTGTAGCTCGAATATCCCCCCCCCCCCCCGGGATTACAGTGTCGGCTTCTTCTTCTTTTACTTTGTGTACAACTTCAATGAATAGTGCCCCCCCCCCTTCTGATGGCAAGAAATACTTGAATAGCGTAGCGTCGTTGTCTGTTCTATTTTAATCTTTTTTTTAACATGGGCTCTGCATACTACGAGAAAAAAAAAAGGGCTGTGTAGACACCAAAAAAAAAAAAAGAATGATGAAGCCCAGAAAGCAGGAAGCTTACAGCACTTCCCCTAGATCTTATCGCTTAAAAGGGGGGGGGGGGGGAGGGACTGATTCTTCTCTTAAACTATTTCCAGCAAGAAATTTTTTGAGTCTACAAAAATTATCTACAAATCACCATTTAGGAAGCCTAAAGGCTCAGCGGACTAGCTTTTAATGTAGATTCACTTCGTACATTTTGATTCTAAACATAATGTGAATATTTTTAAAAAATTAAACCGGAAAATTGTATCATAATTATATGTCTTCAAGTATCTTTTCTTTTTCATTATATTCTTAAAAGCCTTCGGAAACCAATTCATCGGTTTTAGGTGCCTAGCTGACTATGTGGGTGCGATAAAACAAAATGTTTAGGGAAAAACCAGAGGAAAAAGTTTGAGAAACACTGTTCATTTGCCTCGAAGGTTTCTCACACTTCAAATTCGGCCCGTCCACCTTTTCTTAATTTAGTTTTTTTTTTACTTGCGATTTCTGACTAGGAGAAATGATACAATCTAAAACCAAAGAAAATGAGTTTCTGAAGCTCAGAAACACTGAAATAATTTGACCAATAAATGACTAAGAGAGCGGCAAACATTTTTTGGTTTAGATTCTAAAATATTTTAGATGGTTGTAAAAGTTTGAATAAGATTAGCATAATGTTAAAAAGTGTCCGAAACGTGTAAAAGACTTTAAAGTCTACGAAAGAAAAACATGTTCAGTTAATGTAAAGTCTATTTCTTATATAATAAACTTACATCTTAATATATGTAGATAATATAATAATATATGGATAAAATTTGATTTGAATTTGTTAAAAACAAAAAATTAGTTTAAAACCCCCCCAACAGATGATTTCGTCGATAAAACTTCCCTTTTCGATATAAAATCTAAAGCAAACTACAGTCACCTAATTTCAAGAGCGTGGCCAAAAGAGGTTACAAATTTCTACCAGTGGCTGGGCTCCAGAATAGAATCTGCCGAAATTTAAAAAGACTAAATGTGGCTCAAGAAAGATGGCTAAGACGGATTTTAGGAGTCAGTTAAAGATATCGGGTCTCAATCAAGGAAATGCTATGCCGAACTGGGAGTCGACCCCTTAGTAAGGTTGTGACAGAGCGTCGCATGATATTTGAGAGAAAAGTACTCCAAATAATAAATTGTGCATAACAAGAGTTGCGATGACATGGAAGCCATTACGAGGAAAAGCACAAACAGGGACATCATAGTACAACTTGGCGCTACACTTTCATGGAGGTACTCAGAGAATGTCAGAAGAGGCAGACATTGCCAGTGACAGATTTTTGTGGAAACAGCTTGCCGCCCAATGCGGGAAGTCAGTAAGAATAGCACATTAGGTTTTTTACATAAAACTTTTTAATAGCAGGATAATGCACTATAGATACCTCAGAATATGTATTTTGTTGGCTTTCAATACAAGATATAATGTTTGGCGGCGGGGATTCACCCCGCGCTGGGGGAGCTCGCAACGTTCCCCCGGACCCCCTTGCTGGCAAGGGCGGGGAGTCTACACATATAAATCCCCCCAAATCCCTTCCCCGAAAAAAATCCTGGCTACGCCCATGATGTGCTACGACACTAATTTTTCTGACATATATGCTGCCACGACACTGCGCCTGTCCCAACATTGATTCTGTATTGAAAAGTATTCTGTCACGCACGTTAGTAAGTCATTGGTTAATATGCATGACTAAATGCATGACGCGTAGGACGTAATCATCTTCTTTTTTGAAGTAACGTCTGTATTATATAAGATAAGAAACCAACTATCTAACACAAACTGATAAAACCATCTATTTAACTAAAGAGAACTAAACACTACAAGACAACTATTATACTAGACCTGGATCTACACAAACAGACTACAATAAACTAGTCTAGATCTACAATATTCTACTACTATAACCAAAACAAGATCACCAAGATCACCTTAGTCTTAGTACCTTACTATTAGCATTCCCTAAGAACAGAAACAGACTATACCTAAGTTTACTAAGCCGCTAAGGCTACACTACAAAAACAAAATAACACTAGATTCTAGAGCTACAGCAAGAGGTTACAGCAGAGTAATAGCACTTATAATCAGCAGTGTAATTGCAGCAGCTAAAATGAACAGTAATAATAGCCTGCAATACATAAAATCATATATTCTATTAGATCTAGAAAACTCAAAGCAGGACTGATGGACGCCGCCATCTTCAAATTAACATGCCCTAAACATAAACTGCCAACTAGAAAATAAAACTAAATTAAAATATATCTAGTATATTTACACACAGTGTGCAATAGATCTAGTAAAAGAAAATATAAAATAGTTACAAACTTACAGGCCGTCCCAGGTACAGAAATATAAAATAATTACGCGACAGACCACAAAGATCTTCGGCTGTCACACAGACATACTATACTGACCACTGGTCAACTGTACACTGAACTGTTTTTAAAACAGCGTGGCATCATTTTTTTATACACCCCATCCTAACCTACACAAAAAGCGGAAGTACAAATAATAAATTTGGCACTAGCCTATAAAAAATAGAATACATAAAAATATAGCTCTGATAGCACAAGCTCACTTTAGGACACAGATTCTGAATCCATTTGATGAGTTCGCTAATGGGCTTTATCCAATTGATCTCCGAGGTAACAGTAATAAATAAATAAAAAAGCTATCTATCCAAGATTTTATTTTGTTTCAACTGGGAATCTCGGATGTTTCTTGCTATCTGGCCCCAAGGGCTTAAAACAGCAATCTTATCAGTTTTGAATTCAACTTACTTCCCCTTTCGCCAATTATGCTAATGCATTAGTATTGATCTTCATCAATCATTTAGCTGCTCATATTGCGTGAATGTTTATGTAGGCCTGTGTTCGGAGTTGAAGATTAGTTCTTATCTTCATAAGAATTCTAAAGCATGAATAAGCAGTCATCAGTTTTTTATTAACATCAAAGAGAGTTTTTGTTCTACAATCTCGATGGTAGTACTTAGGGGATTAGATTGTGTACATTTGCATTAATAATAACTAATCGACCGGCGGCGTAGTAAACGCCGCTATTTTGCAGGGCCGGCCATTGGCCACACCAACCTATCCGACCGCAGTGGGCCCCACACTTTCATAGGACCCGCATTTATTCCATGTGTAAATTATTAAATCAAAACATTTTATAACTTATAACAGATTTCCTGGAAATCTGAAATTGCAAAATATTTGAAAAAATCATGGAAATCTCCAGAAATTATAAAAAATCTTCTGAAACCTCATACAAATCTCATGAAATATATTGAAAAAAATTGTCATTTTGGGGTATCATTCAATATGGAAAACGCCAATCCTACAGGCGATAAATACAAACGGCATTTTGCATTAGCCGTAATTGTGTAATCTGGTGAAAGAAGCTTCTCGCACCTCAAACTAATTAAGAATTACTTTAGTTCAACAATTCTCTTAGATAGATTGGAACATTCATTAATTGTTGCTATTGAGCGTTATCTATGTAGGAAATAAAATTTTCATGATACACTGTAAGACTTCGCTGCACGCTAGGCTCGTAAAGTTCGTGAAATAACTCTATCCGCAGAAACAAAATAGTGTTCTTTCCTTTACTTCTTCTTCTCGTTCAAACTCTTGAGCGAAAAAGAGAATTATGTATATAAATTCATAGGACCGCTCTAATTCAAGGTGTATACATTATTAACTAAACCATTGTATAACTTAAAAGAGATTTCCAGCGCCCTCCTGTCGATTTACCAGGAGCTGCTGAAAATCTCTCGAATTCGCAAAATATACAAATAAGTCCTTAAAATATTTAGAAATATATAGAAAAAAATTGTCATTTTGGGGTGCCATTCAATATGGAAAACGCCAATCTTACGCGCGGCAGTATGCATCAGCCGTAATTGTGTCACCTAGTGAAAGTAGCTTTTCGCGCCTCAAACTAATGAAAAATTACTTGAGGTCAACAATTCTCAAAGATAGATTGAAATATTTGGTAATTCTTGCTATTGAGCGTGATCTATGTAGGAAACAGAATTATTATGATATACTCTATGACTTTGCTACACGCAAGGTTCGTAAAGTAATTCTCTATGGAGTTAAGAAATTCTGTATGCAGTTAAGAATGGATAAAATGCATAGACGAATTTACTTTCTATTACAAACTCTTTTAAATTTCACTTATTGTCCGCTTCCCTACCCAAACTTGGCCCTCGAAATCCGTTTCGCATAGGGCCCCACAATGGTTAAGTACGGCCCTGCTATTTTCATATATATACATAGTAGATTACTTAATCTCTTTCCATGACTTCTAAGTCACAATGGTTAAGTCCGGCGCTGCTGTTTTGTGTTTGTAAAATGTTTTATAATGTTTGGAATGTTCCGTCAGAGCTACAGATAGTTTACTTTCTAGTCCAAACCTTCCACAGAACAAAGGGGCGGGCAGGGTTTGATAAATTTAAACGACAGTCCAGCGCTCAGGCAGCCATCCGTAGTGTGAACATTACTCTTGTGTTTTCTCGTGGACTATCAACAGAAATAAGAGAGTGATCTTTCCTTTACTTCTTGTTTAAACTTTTGAGTGAAAAAAGAGAATTATATATATAGATAGATAGATAAAAGGATTTGGTCTTCTTTTTAGAATTGGGTTTTATACAAATGAACCTCCTAGTCACTTTCACTATTAGTGGACAGTCAGAATATTGAACAAGTATTGAATAACACAAATTGTCTTTTTTAAAATCTTTTCATATACAAATCTTTTCAAAAACAAAAGGCCTCGTTTTGAGACGACCGTCCGTACACTGTGCCCTTATAACCTCCTTTAAAACAATTTCAAATATATAGACGATGATAGCTTTATCTAAAAGGTAGATGAAACAGAAAAAGAATATTCTCTCTCTATCCTGAGGTATTTATTACCTTTTTTTACATTGTGCTAGAAGTCTGTAAATCTTCATTTGGGTTCAAATCCAAAGGTGACCGTATTAATGATATCTGGATGCGTAATGTCAAGGTGATAGAGGCTTGTGCTTGCCTTGCAACAATATGTTCGTGTTGTTTTAAAACGTGGAATATCAGTTGAAAGTCTTTGGCATTGTGTTACGACTAATCTAGATTGACATGTATTCTAGATCTATGTCATGTCTACCACCGATAGAGCAAGAAATAAAAAAAAACGCAAATGGGTTGGATTGGACATACATCGTGAAAAAGAACAGAAAACATTGCAAACCAGGCTCTAGACTGGAGCCCACAGGAGAAGAGAAAGACTGGAAGAACAAAATTAACATGGAGAAGATCGGTAGATCAAGAGGCAAAGTCGGCTGGATGGACATGGACCTGATGGGAATTGCCCAAAACAGAGCCCGACGGTGAGGTGCTGTTGTGATTCTGTGCTTCACTGAGAGTCAAGAGAAATTCTTCAAGTAAGTCAAGTAGACAAAGATTATAAAAACAAATTGAAATGTACGTATCATTTTTTTCTTTTACTGGTAGACGTGAAGGATAACAGAATTAACGGATCAAAAGTCTACGTGGGAGAGCTTTACGAAGCGCAGGGTGTAAAAATATCGTGCTCCGACAAAAAAGCAGCACAGAAATATATTTATAGGCGGGTATGCATTCGTAAAATAAGCTAGTATATATGTATGTTTGTGTGTCTTTCAAAGTATACAGATGTGGTTAAAGACTTGTCCAAAAATTATTATAAATGTTTAGTTTGTACATTCGTAATTCAAGTCTCCTTGTTTTAGCACCTGTATCGGGTTTGATTGTAATTTGCTGTATTTGTGTACAACAAAACATTTTCCCTCTATCAGTTCAACTGAGACTTAAAGCATAAAGATGTTCTTTGAAGGTAAAAAGACTGTACAAATGAAAACAAAATCCAGACCAAAAAAAAAGCAATATCAACCCTTGAATGCAACACATGTATTTTAGGACATTCAAACATCTTATTTCGCACAGTTCATCTTTATATAATGTAGACATACCGAATAGACTTTAAGAAGTTTGTTGGGTTTATTTACATCTACGTTACAATGTAACATCATGAAGGATGACCACATTGAGTAGTCTAAGTTCAATTTGTGTAACATCATGAAGGATGACCACATTGAGTAGTCTAAGTTCAATTTGTGTAACATCATGAAGGATGACCGCATTGAGTAGTCTAAGTTCAATTTGTGTAACATCATGAAGGATGACCGCATTGAGTAGTCTAAGTTCAATTTGTGTAACATCATGAAGGATGACCACATTGAGTAGTCTAAAATCAATTTGTGTAACATCATGAAGGATGACCGCATTGAGTAGTCTAAGTTGAATTTGTGTAACATCATGAAGGATGACCGCATTGAGTAGTCTAAGTTGAATTTGTGTAACATCATGAAGGATGACCGCATTGAGTAGTCTAAGTTGAATTTGTGTAACATCATGAAGGATGACCGCATTGAGTAGTCTAAGTTGAATTTGTGTAACATCATGAAAACGTTTTTATAGTTTAACATTTTTAAAAAAAATAGATGCACTGCGCTGATGTACCCTGGTTTATTAATCTAAATCCATAGATATGATCTAAACTCTAAAGATAGGCCCCAGAAGGATGACGATTTAGGCTACTATCTACTTATTCTAAATTTAGATTTAGTATCATCATTTTAGAAAGCAGTTTGAGTTTGACTTAACGGAGATAACAGCTACACCCAGCTAAACAAATTGTGCAAACGCTAAGCTATCGACTAACTTTGACCTAGAGGAAGTCAATTCTTTAACTTAGCCAGAACAATGTGACAGTTACGAAGTAGACAAAAGCTAGAAACCGACCCAACGGACATAAACAAGGAGCTAGGTTGACACTTGAAATGTGAGCGGCACGGAACGATGAAAGATCTGTGTGGTGAAATATAAGTTCACCGTTTGTCCAAGAAAAAAATTCACTGAATATTTTATGAGATTTTATTAAATCCCTCGATGATAATCTCGAAATAAAGAATAAGTGTTATTGAAGAATATTTGTAGTCAGGAGTCTCTAAATCAGCGGTTCTCAACATGGGGGTCGCTTACTTTGGTATTACAGTGTATTTCAGTTGCTGGTTTCACTGTTTGGTACGTGGTTGGCCCGTTTCGGAAATTGTTAATTACGACCTCTCCACTTTGTGGAACTCTAGATGTAGTAAAGGTGTCTTATGTATAAGTAAATGATATTATAGTTGAGTAATTGGTTAGGCGAATATGTATATTTACTTTCAATATGATTTGAAGAAAAGAAAATGAAGTGGTCCAATACATGTTGAAAGCGAGACTAGCGAGAGAGGACGTGAATACTATTTGTAAAGACAAAGTATTTATATGGTGATTTCGTTGATTCATATTGTTCTTGTTTTAAACCTTCAATACTAGACATAGTTAAACACTCAAGCAAGAATACAACCACTCAAACACTGAGGCAAACATACACTTACCGGAACCTGGACAACATTGTCCAGATTTGTGGGTCCATGTAATCCATGTTCACTCAGCTCTGTGTCCATTATACAACCATAATTATAAAACACGTGTGCGTCTAACACTGAGCAGGTAGCCTATGACTGAATACGCCACTAAGATAAGATAATTTTTTGGTCTCAATATGACAAATACGATGCAAACCTGAATGGTGATAATCTCACTCGGTTAGAGATTAGGTCTAGTTGTTGAACTCTTTAAAATGACGGCGATAAAAACAAACTTTACAACCGGTTGGAATGCTTTGATTTCAGTTCACTTCAATCTTCACCTTATCTCTCAGTTGGCTTGGGTATCACAGATGATCTGTCGAACGACTCTGTCCATTCCTCTATGTCTTTTGCCTTGACTAGAATCGTTTTAAATAGCATGCCCGTCCATTCATTGGTATTGCCTTTCCATCGCTTTCTCTGTCTGCGTCTTCGTCTTTGACCTAATATCTAGCTTATAAGCTATAGACGTGACTTCAAAAGAAAAGATGATTACTACACGTATCACTCGGTCAATCTAGTCATGCATGTTGATCTGTGACTTAAAATATACTAAGTCATTGGTTTTCCTGGCGGACTCAAGCAACCCATTCCATTAAAAGTTAAGAGAATACTGATCGGTTAGAGAGACCCTTACTAGTACATTCTCAAAAACGCGGATTGTATATAGCTATATCATGACCCATTACTTAAAATATAAATATAAACCTCCTTTCATTAAATAGCGGACAGCGCTATATAAATTATTATAATCATTATAAGAATTTCCATCATTAATGACTTTATACTAAGCATAAGTTCGGCATTTTAGTACAAAATGTATACAAATCTAGATTTTTTTTTTTATTAAATATTTTTTTGTAAGCATTTAGTGAAGTATTTTTAGATCCATGTCATTAAAAATAAACAAAAAGAAAACTTACTTTTCTTTACAAATCGTAGAATGTGTGTGTGTTAAAGTTAATTCCTATTAAGTATTGTTAAAAAGTTAATTGTCACCCCTAGTTTTTTTCTGCGTTATATCAATGTTTTCTAACTTAACCTCTTTTTCGTTAACTGTCAATGAAACCACCAAAAGACGGGGGAGGGAAGAAGCAAAAACTAATAGGAGTGACATCAAACGTCCAAGCCGACTAGCAAAATGATTTGGCCAAACACAGCCTCGAAGACATCAAAGCAGTATTGAAGTCCACGCCGCTCATATATGGCAAAATGTACGGTCTCACGTTTTGCAAAGGATAATACATACAGCATATAGTGTTGTTGTTTTTGTGTGTTTTTTTTTTATATTTTTGTTGAATTTTAAACAAAACTAATTGTAGGCCTAATAATAATTAAAAAAAAAAAAAAGAAAACGTATTCGGGCATCTGTGTTTTACCGCTGTCAATTTATTTTTAAGTTATCTGAATTGAAAAATAAAGGTTTTCTTTGGTCGCGACCAGACCGGCCCATTTCGTACAGGCCCATCGGGCATTTGCCCGTTTGCACATATAGCCAGTCCGCCCCTGGTTGTGTCTTTCTGAGTATTTTATTAGATTTTGTTTTTGTATTTGAAGATTATGGTTCACTGTTGTATGTATTATTGCTAATTAGCCTATATTTTTTATTTCTGACCTTAAGTGTCTCTAAATTTAGTGATTTTACTAATGGTGTTAATTTAATCAAAAGTGAATATTCATTTGTTATATAGCAGAAAGGTCTCTGCGAGCTCTGAGGACCACGTGATATGGCCATTCAATTATAGTTTGTGTTTTTCGACAGTGGTCAGCAGGTAATCGTTTGGCCAAATAGCCCTTGAGATCCTTTTTGGTTGCAGTTATTTTATGATAAATAAAATCAATATTACATTCTTTACCCCTAACCCTGACACATCACTAATTCTCCCACTTGCGGTGGAAGAAAAATACAAAAAATGTAATATTTCGTCACTTACATTTGGCCTAGAATACTCTAGAATCTAGAACAACTAAGATATTTTTATAATCGAAACCGCAGCGGTTAAATTTACTAAAAACTTTTTTTAGTTCGCAATTTCGACCCAATATGTTGGTTTTTTTTTTAAGCGGGCATAATACAAAATGTGCACTTCCTTTTTTTTTTACTAGCTACAACATTTCTACTTCCTGTTCAATCCAGCATATAGACTTACTGAGGACCTACACCATTACACTAACTCAAGGTGCCATCTTTATCCTCAAGCAAAATAGCCGTCTTCCTTCACTTTTTTATATTATTCA